CAAATATACTTTCTTCATTTTTTGATAATAAATAAAATTATGCTTAAAATACATTCATATTGTCTTTTTGATTGAATCACATTAATTTTATTTTTTTATGTTTTCAATGCACATTATTGCTTTTATTTTTATACTGTTGATTCTTTGACAGAATCATTAGAGCAAATGGGAAAAAAGTAAAGTAATTTTATGTTTCTGGAAACTTTTGTTTGTCAGTCTCTTGTCTCTGCCTGTTTCCTTTGTGAAATCTTGATTGATTTATTATTGTAGTTTTTATAATTTATGAGTATTTTTGTATATTAATTTAGTGGCAACTGTTCAGATGATGACAAAACCCCTTAAGCAATAAAATTTTAGGAAAAGTATAATGTTCAGTATTACAAACTGCATTCTGTAAAGTGTAACTATGGCACTGGAATTCCCCAATACCTTTGCAAAAGGAGGTGCAGGTCATTATTGACGTGTCTATGTAAAAATAAATAAATAAATAAAGGCAACATAGTGAACTGCCTGTATTTTATTTATCAGTAACAAAATCAAAAATGTAATTGTCCAATTGCTTTTGAGACATGCCCAGTTGACATTTTTTACTTAGCAAATTTCTGACAATAGTAACGTGGATCTACCCAAATTATTTTAAACCAAGGGCAGCAGGAAGGTGAAAAATGGAATCTGGCTTTTTTGTTCACATGTTTCCTGATTGCAAAAACATTAAATGGCATCATTTGTGTAGGATGTCTTTCTTCCAAACTCTCTCAAAGGGAAAACTATGGGATAAATCTTGTGCCAGCAGGAATTGAATTTGAATTGCTCAGATTGAATCTGAACGTGCATAATTTGAAATTGAATGCYTTGGTTTGAAAATAAATTGTACTAAATTGAAACAGAATTTAATTATTTGAAACTGAATTTAAAGTTTTGAACTTGAATTAAATTGCTTTGAAACTGTATTTTTGTTTATTAAAATTTATGTCAGAGTACTTTCACTCATGGATCCCACATTGATCAGATGCTGCTGCTGACTGATCCATGGTGGGATGTAAGTGTAACATTTTCTACATATAGGTAAAATTAATCACTGCAATAAAATAACTGTTTGTTTTTGTCACTTTTACAGTGGACCACATCAACTCTGTTACATTATAGAAAGGAAACTTCACCGAAGTGAAACGTAAATCTGTGGATCTGTGTTTGATTACTCTGGCTGGCTTTCTCAAGGACCAGGATGTGACACAAAAATCTGAATTATGGAACTGAAAGTGAAAGTAGTCAAATTGACTTTTTAATAAACCAAAATACAGTTTCAAAGCAAATTAATTCCGACAAAAAACTTTAAATTCAGTTTCAAATAAATAAATTCAGTTTCAATTTAATGACATTTATTTTCAAACCAATGCATTCAATTTCAGATTACACACATTCAGATTCAATCTGAGCAATTCAAATTCATTTCCTGCTGGCATAATATTTATCTCACAGCAAACAGTCTTTAATCTGCAGTTATGCTCAATTGATAAACCCCTCCTCTAGAGGGTGGAGATTATAGACAAATAAGAAAAAAAAAGCTTTCGTAAACGAGAACGTATTGAACTGAGATTTGTAAAAGTACAAGTATTGGTTAATATAAGGTGCAACATGTCTTTGCAAGCATTAAAGTGTGAGAATATTGAAATCCTAGAACTTGTGCTATTCAGTACAAAACAATTTGTGTTGAAAACTGTGTTAAAACATTTTAGGGTGACTGTTTGTAACCCCCTTTATTTGCTCCTGTTTCAAAAGGAGAGCGCATGCTGAAGGTCCAGCCCAGCACTGTTTACACTGTATTTCCACTAAACCAGCATGAACAAAAGCCTCTAAATCTAAATCAAACATGATAATACTGAGTTCAAAAGAAAGACGTATGCTCATTGTTGTCTGCTGTAACACTGATTGAATATTATTGTTCTTATCAAATATAAGGTTTCATTGAATACAAGCATGTCACTTGCTGGCTATTTGACTGTCCATTGAAGACACTGCACTCAGTATTACAAGCAGAATGGTTAATTTACATTCTGTAACTCCACTCTGTATGATAAGAATAGTCCACAAAATATGACGATGGCTTCTTTGTATAACGTTTGAAGGAGAGTATTATAGATACAGAGCACAAAAAGCTAACATCTACTCAAGAATCAGCACATCATCTGGCCCAAAGTCAGCTGGAGTGGCACAACCAATCAGCCTCCAGCCTGATGTCATCATATGATGAAGGTGTCATAGTTCACTTGTTACACTGAGGCTGCTGAAAGCATGTTCTGCTCTTGTTGTTTGGCTCAGTCTGCCACCATCTGATTGCAACCCGTTTGTTCTCTGATCACAACTGAAACGCAGGAACAAAATCATCAGCAGTTTGTTCAGCTCTATTCAGTATCAGAAGATTTAAGTTTAGGTGTGCGGTTATTTCTTTCTTTCTTTTTTTTTTTTTTCATGTCAGACGTGCGTCTCGATGTAGGAGTGTGTGTGAGACAGTGAGGGGGTGAGGGGCGGCCCTGGATCGGCTGGTTGGGATTCGGCGGCTGAGTTTGTCTCCTGAGTGAACAGGTCCTGATAGGCTCTCTTCCACTCCTGGAACTCTGCCGACGACAGCTGGGGACTGGCCAGCAGCCTGTCAATCAGTGCTAGCTCTCCCTCCCTGTCCTATGAGGATGCAAAAACACAGGAGGGGTGGATCATTTTTAGAATTTTTTTTAACCACTACTCTTTCAAACGTAGATAAAAGGAAAGGACAACACATACGTGAAGGGACACATTTAAATCTGGGGAGACGTGTTTGACTTACTTTTCTGACAGATTTAAGTGTTAGAAACAAAGATAATACTGAATCTTTCTGGAGATGTTTATGAAATATTACAATGCAAATCTGAAATTATTGTATGCTAATCCTGCACCTCAAAATCCATTCTAATGAGCTTTATAATCAATAAAAATTATATTTAGTGAAATTAACTATACTATATTTTCTAAATTAGAGTGTTCTGAACTGTAATTTCAATGTGCTTTGTACAATGACAATAAAGGTTTATTCAATTCAATTCAGTTCAATTCAATTCAATTCAATTCAGAGATAGCATCTGAATTTATTTAAACTCTGATGATGTTACAAGAACAATATGATTTTGAGCCAGTAAGAAAAAAAAACTTTACTGTACCAGTACTAACCATAATTATAATCTACAGAATGGGTACAAAATATGCCAAAAAATAGATTTTGTTTGGTATGTTTGTAAAAGGAGTTAGGCYGAGCCATTAAAATTGGTCAGTATCTTAACTGCAGACGTTTATTCAAAATTTAATTAAATTCATCATTACTCCAAAATGACCTAAATCTAATATTATCCAAGCAGTTTTCACATTTGTTTTATATTCAAAATGTTCATACTTAATCATTTTTGCATTGGAAAGTTGCGTACGTTGTAATTTTCTAAACTTAAAACAGATTGCTTTGCCACTGGTACCKTGGAGCTATTCTTTCAGTTTGAATCCCAAACAACAAATAAAGAAACATTAAAAAATGAGGGATTACAAACGTGAAGACATTATGCCAGACACAGAGGTAAAAATATTTTAGTGGATACAGTGCACACGGTTAGCATAGGAAAAACAAAACAAACCAAAAAATCTGTTAGGTTTAGAAAAAAAAGTAAAACATTTGTTCCATGCAAAAAGTAATAAGCTGTAAAGACGTGACCAAACACAGCATTTGCTTACTAGTACTAATTTTGAGTTTATGTTATGATAAGATTAATTAACTTTTAATAACTTGTGCTCTGCAAATGGTTGTTTTATTTCTCACTGAGAACGTCACCACAATTTAACAAAATAAAATCATTGCAAATAGGAAAAACCCCTATAAAAAGTCCAAAACTGAAATGACTTAATGCCATCTCAGTGGAGAAGTGGGTCTCTGCTGTCAATAAATGGGAGGTTCTTGGTGTGTGGGCGTTGGGTGGAGTTTGAAAAATCCTTGATTGGTATGTGTGACTTTTGTGGAAGGAGTTGGTTAAGAACATGACTGGATGGACTGACTTTTGTGGGTGGAGTTTGAAGAAGTCAAAACAACTTTGTTAGATGAACAACAACAATTTATAACAATTTTGCCTTGTTAAACAGTCTTAAACGTCTTTAAAAAAGGCTATTTTAGAATATGAGTATCAATATATATCATACTTCAAGACAGGAAGGTTCTAGCAAAATTTGAAGTCAATAAATTATATTTACATGCTCATAATACTTTTACTATTTTCATTACTGTATCTTTTAACTACCCCCCACAAGACAGACTAATTATGGTCTTGCCAAACTCCACCTACACCAAAGAATTCCTCCAATCACATTTGCCAAACTCCTCCCAGACAGCCAAGAAACTCCCCCCGTGTACTGCAGAGACCCTTACTCATCTCATTGTGATTTCTGAAAAACAAACGGTGCACGGGAGGTTGAAGTTAACCAACTGCTGTTATGTCACTGAGTTGCCACATGAGGTGACTGCATCGTAGCAGCAATTATAGGATGTTTGCATTCCCAACTAAAATGAACCAATGTATTAGTTAGTGAGTGTTTATGTGTGGTGTCAAATGTATAAAATATGTTGTCACTCTATCTGACTTTGCAAATA